AAGGAATCCTACTCCAATAAAAAGTTGGAAGAAGGAATTCTACTACAATAAGGAGTTGGAAATTTTCTTTGAATTCTGTTGAAACAAGTAAATAGCAATTTTGTTTATTCCTTCCTAAGTTAGGAATCCTACTACATTAAGGAATAGAAATCCCACTACAATAAGGAGTTGGAAAATTTTCTTTGAATTCTATTCAAACAAGGAGATAGCAATTTTGTTTATTCCTTCCTAAGTTAGGCATCTTGCTACATTAAGGAATAGTCAAGTCAATTCCTAGTAGGAAGTGTTAGAACTGATTTGTCTTTCCTACATTGTGTTTCAATTGAATTTCCATTTTTTTTTCTTTTAATTCATTCAGGTTTGTTTCTTTTATTGCTTTTCTTCGTGTCTTTTCATTCCTTCAACTCTTGTTGCAGATTTGCTAGAATTAGATTGCTGCAAAATAACTTGAATTGAGCTTGTTTAGTTCAATAACGAACTGAAAGAGGAAAGTTGAGTGAGGGAAAAAGGCAAGAGGTGTGAGCAACACTTGAGAGAAAAGCCAAGTTCTACAGTGTGAAAACACGAGCGTTGAGTGCCATTCTGTGAGAGAGTGGAGTGAAACACGTAAGGGAGTGTTGTGAGGTCCTTTTTATTCTTCTGTTTCTAACATTTGTTGCAGGTTTCAATCATGTCAAGCAGTGATGACAAATCAACCCCTAGAAGCCACCATGTGGATGAATCCTTCATGCTCAAAGCCATGCAACAACAATTTCAGAGGTTGGACATCATGTTTGGTGAGATTAAAGATAAAATGGAGAAGCAAGATGCAGCGATAGCCAAGTTATACCAAACACAGAATGGAAGTCCAAATTTGCGTAGGAATGATGCTAATGATGATTTCGATGACGATTATAAAGATGCATTCAACAATGATGCTTGGAACTCAAATTTCAGCATGGACAGAATTATGAGAGGTAGAGGGGGCCAAAGAGCGCAAAATCTGACAAGGTGGGGAGATCGACAAGATCGTGACTTAGGTAGCATCAAGATGAAGATTCCTCCGTTTCAAGGCAAGAATGATCCAGATGTGTATTTGGAGTGGGAAAAGAAGGTGGAATTGGTGTTTGATTGCCATAACTATTCTGAGGAGAAAAAGGTGAAACTAGCAGCGGTGGAATTTACTGATTATGCTGTGGTGTGGTGGGATCAGCTTGTGCTTAGTCGACGTAGAAGTCGAGAGCGTCCTGTTGACAATTGGGAAGAGATGAAAGTTGTGATGAGAAAACGATTTGTTCCTAGTCACTACTACCGTGATCTCTATCGACGATTGCAGGGCCTTACTCAAGGGTCCAAAAGCGTTGAGGATTATCACAAAGAGATGGAAACCGCAATGGTAAGAACGAATGTGGAAGAGGACAGAGAAACAACTATGGCACGGTTTCTGCATGGCTTAAATCGTATATAGCTAATGTGGTGGAGATGCAGCATTATGTGGAATTGGAAGATATGGTGCATATGGCAATGAAAGTAGAATGACAACTCAAGCGTAAAGGAGCCACCACCAGAACTGGGCAAAATTCAGGTTCCTCATCTTCTTGGAAACTGAATTGGAGCAAAAAGGAAGAAAATTCTGTTTTTAAGCCTAAAATTGCAACATCTAAGTCAAAAGAAGTTGGTAGCAATGAGAAGAGTAAAGCAAATAATATGCAAGGTAGAAACCGAGACATCAAGTGTTTTCGATGCTTGGGAAGAGGGCATATTGCATCGCAATGCTCTAATAAGTACACGATGATCTTGAAAGAGGATGGAGAAATTGAAACAAAGGGTGAATCTGATGATGACTCTATGCCACCATTGGAAGATGCTGATGATGGCATAGAATATGCTGTTGATGGAGAACTGCTTGTCACCAGGCGTACTTTGAATGTGCAAGCCAAAGAAGATGATGAAGTACAATGCGACAACATATTTCACACGAGGTGCCATATCAAAAATAAGGTATGTAGTGTGATTATTGATGGTGGCAGTTGTACTAATGTAACTAGCACTGTTTTGGTTGAAAAGCTTAATTTACCTATGATGAAGCATCCAAGGCCATATAAGCT